GCTATAGAAACTGTTATTAGTATGTAATATTCAACTTTGTTACTTTGGAGTTTTTCCCACTGTGGTGGTATATAATTATTTCTACTTGGTTCATGTCCGTGGTCGGAAGCCATTATAGCGGTGCACTCACCCAATATTCTTACTAGCTAGCATTGCATTACAGAGATCTTACCTTATGATTTTTCTGCATCTTCAAAGCATACAAAGAGATACTTATCAACAGACCAATGTACGACACACACACATCTGACATTTTCTTGACAGAACCTGTTTCATTTTTACCTTGACCTACACATTTTTCATATCTTTTCACTGACTGAATTTGTTTAATCTATATTTGCATGGAGATCAACATAATAATGACTAACAGCAGCTACTACAGATGAATTGTGAAAAGAACTGAAGCCTCATGAATAGGCTTAACAGTCATCCCAGTTTGATGATATGGTCCATGTGTCCTAGCCAATTTGTCATTTTGTTCTGGTTATTTGGTAAAATTTTAGAAGTGCCAAATATACAAAAATTAAAAATAGTGCAGCCTCAGATAAAATGATAATTTGGCAATTCAAATATCCTTTCTGTTACAGATACTGTCACCAATTTAAATATTTTGTATCTAGATTTAAATGCTTTTAAAGTTACTGTGATACCTTTCCTCCAAACTTATATCATGTGATGTAATAAATTTAGATTTTTTTTCACAAAATTTATAACAGCATATAGGCTATGAGATTCAGATACTTAATTTTTTATATATATTGTTTCAGTTAGATTTAGCAACACTGGAACTTACACTGGTCAGTTTATATACTATGAGTTCACATTTGCAATTATTTTCTATTCTCTATCAAATTAATCTGCTAAATGCCAAAAGAAACTGTGTGTTTACTGAAGATTTGAAAAATGATTATCCATTTCTGAAAAAAGTTTGTGATTGTACTGACAAACTGAAATGTGAATTGTACTTTTCAGCAAGTCATGGTGGGCATTCGAACGTTACAAATTACTTGAAATGTGTGAAACATAAGGCTAGACTACTAACAGTGGCAGCAACTTCTTCAAATATATTTTCATATTTTAAAAATACCAATTTAAACAATTTTTGTATTTCATGTTTCTATTCACTATCTCAGCTTTACATAGCTGATTGTTTTCAGGACCGGATTTAGATTTGACACAATCCTAAGCTATCTGAAATATGGTACCTTTATGAGGGATTAAATCAATTTATATATATATATGGGATATGGTAAAATGTTTTGGAGGTCGCCCCAAGAAAGTGGGAGCCCTAAGCTATAGCTTGTGCTGCTTATACATACCAGCACTGATTGTTTTTCTAAATTGATTTCAGAAATCTTTGAAACAAAGTTTTAGACTAACCAGAACAAAATGTGAAGCTCTCAAATGTGATTGAACCACCGTTGTTTCAGCTGGTTTAAAAAAAAAGTTTTGCAGCAGTATCAATAGATTCTTTTAAAGCTGCTATCACACATCCATTTATTTTGGATGTGCTAAGCTATTACAAATAATTTTTACCTTCTTCTATCATTGAAAGAAAGATGCACATTTTTTGCCCTGTCCTGTAGCCAAAAATTTAAGTTGTTCATTTTAAACAACTAATCAGCTATCGGCATCAAATCCCCCATCATTTGTAATATAGAGAACTAGTTTCCTCTGTGGTTGGCTGTTTTATATCATGTGAGAAAGCAGAAAAATTGTATTAAACAGTTTTTCTTCAAAAACATTTTGAATGTGTGATATGATCTTAATAATAGGGAAATTAAAAGTGTGTCAACTATTGCACAGTATTTTGTACCAGGCTGTAGCTTAAAAATGATTTTTTTTTTTTTTTTTTTTTACTTTCAAAAAGTTTCTTGTGAAATTCCAGAAATATTGACAAACCATTTAATGTCGAAAACTCATAATACAGTACAAAGTCCGTAATCCGGCTTGTCGGGACTTCAGCGATTCTGAATTATAGATGATGAATTTAAAACTGGTAAGGTGACATGCAGAAATTATACCATTAAAAATATGAAACCGTACTTACAAAATAAAAAGCAATTATGATCTAAAGAATATCAAAATTTACAAAAAAAAAAAAAAAAAAAAAAAAAAAAAAGCTTAATGTTTGTTTACTTTATTAAACATTTCTTTCAATATAAGTTGTTAAAGTTGCTTCATTTTTTATGCTAATACTTTCTCTTTAATTCTTTCTTCTATAAACAGACATAATTTCTTGTTCAGTTACAAAGTTCCACTGTTCAAATCCTGTAATTGCTGTGTTGAGAATACCGACTAACTTGTCAATCGAAATTTTTTTATTTTCAATAACCTCTCTGTCACTTTCTTTACTATTGGAAGCTTGCATGTATAAACGCTTTACGCGCATGCTTAGTGGACGTGCGGATTAAACGCGCATGGATAAACGCTTTACGCGCATGCTTAGTGGACGTGCGGATTAAACGCGCATGGATAAACGCATTACGTGCATGCATAAGTTTGTGGCTTTGAGGTCCGGATTATAGATCATTCAGGATAATGGACGTCCGCATTACAGACTTTGTACTGTATAGCAAGAAATCTGAAAGGTTTCATATTTTAAATTATGTCCAAAGGGGTGTTTTTTAATGTTTTGTGTGTTACCTTTATTAACTATTATGTTCTTTGCACGTAAACCATAAAATTCAGTTCAACAGCAATGTCGCAAAAACATTTTTAAATGAGCATATCTTTAGAATTTCTGATACAGAGTTCCGCGCGCTGGAGATAAAAAGGTTTCTTTTTCCCTGCAGAGTGTAGCTATTGCTTGCTTTTAAATCGTAGAGTTTGTTAATCAAAAATTAGTTATAGTTTTACAAAATATGAAATCGATAATAAAATTAATTTAAAATTTGGGCTCTCAGATGCCCATATTTGCAGGAGGTTTATGTTATTCAAAATTTGATAGCTCTACGTACCATTGTTTTATCATACAACGATACCTAGAGCGAGAAACATACATACATTTATGCAGATTCTTCATTATTTTATTTCTTCATATATAATACAGGGCGATAATATTTGGTGGCAACGATTTGAAAAGCGATACAGCCTTTTAAAATTTTCAACACAAAATCGCAAAACGAAAACAATAGTCCTTCAGGGAGAAAGCTCCTTTGGACTAAAAATCAAAATTTTGTACATAATTGCAATACTAATTTTAGGGCTATTAAAAGATTCTTCAGCATGGTAAATACTTCCAACTATTGACAGAATACTTAAAATCTGTGAAAGACTGAAATTTTATTTCATAAGAACAGTGTCAAGTGATGATAAAGCTTTTTTTTTTTTTTATAATGATTATACAATGCATTTGAGGTTTGAGCAAGGGCAATTCATATTATTTAACAAAGCTATCTCGATTATGGAAAGTACAAAAAAGAATGTACCAATATTGTCAGCTAAACTGAAAGATTAAAATCAAACTTTGAAGAAAGGCGTAATAATAAATAAATTTGTGCCTCAAGAAGCAAAAAAATAATGGAATTATTAATATCAGTATAATTCTACAAGAGTTTACAGAATTTAAGACAGGTGTCTTTCTTACATTGAGTTTTGGGAAAGAAGAATCTCTTATTTGGATAAACCAGAGTGAATTAGTTTGGTCTAAAATTTAAGCTCCAAGGAGAGAAATTAACAATAAATAACATAATAAACATGGATCAACTTTATGAAGAAACCGTGTACTGGACAAATAAAAGCTGTGAAGAAAAGTGGATACTACAACTTTTCAACCATTCTGAAGAAAAACATTTCATTGCCCACTCATATTCAAATAATAGAATATCTTCAGCATGTCAGGCACACTTGCACAAGTCAAAAGGATATTCTCAGTAATGAATATAATAGTTTGAAGAATGAGACAGAACAACATTTTTTGATGCCGTTAAAAAATTAAAAACTTTTAAAGAGAATTCACACTAGTGATAAATACTAACAACTTTTTAATAATAAGGTATGCTGACTTTTAATTCATTACTGTTTTAGTCTAAAAGGGCAATTTGCCCAGAAGGGCTATTAATTTTTATTCAGGCTATTCCATTGATTCATTATAAATGTCGGTTCACTTTTCAAATTGTTCCCACCAAATGTTACTGCCCTGTGTTATATTTAAAGAAATTAAATAATGAAGAATGTGCATAAATGTATGTACGTTTCTCGCATTCTGATAAAACAACAGTACCTAAATTTTGAATAACATTTTGGAATTTGTTTTATTATCGATTTCATATTTTGTAAAACTTTAAATGAATTTTTGAATAACAAACTCAACGATTTCAAAGTGTGCAATGGCAACATTGTACAGATAAAACATTTTTATCTCCAGCGCGTGAGACTGTGTTTTGAAAATTCTAAAGATATGCTCATTTTATGATATTACTGTTGAACTGAATTTTATGGTTTAAGTCCGAAGATAAAGGTAACACACAAAACGTTAAAAAAAACATCCCTTTGGTTGTTATGTAAAATCAGATTAGCTATCAGAGCTATCAGATTTTTGTTAACTTCTTTATTTTAGACTTTTTAATCATAGGAACTTATTCTTGTAGGCTTTATTTTCTGTTCAGCATTTTCTCAAAATTGTCTATTTTTGAGCAAAAAATGTTATGGCATGACAAGTCTACATTTGGGTATAATTTATAGGTATATTTATAGGCCATCATCCAGAGTACAGCAATTATTGTTTTCCAAAGTGGATACATGTATTATTAATCTGTGCATCTAAATTACCTGCAAATTCAATAATTTTAATCATAATATATTTGAAAAATAATTATTGTATTATCACTTATTATTCATATTGTTGCAATTTTAATGGTTGGTGGTGAATTTATAACCACAGTTTGCATTTAATAATTTCTAAAGTTGTTTACCTTGATAGGAAAGTAATTGAGTATATTTTTTTCCTTACTGTTTAATTCTAATATTAAATCTAACAATTGAAAAAATTAGATTCATTGAATAGAGAACTGACAAGAAATCAGTATACAATTTATTTTTAAACTATGCACACAACAGTTGTACAATAGATTTACATAACAATAAGAACACTTATGGCTCTTGTATCACAAAGAAATGGCTAATTTTAATCTCTCTTGGCAAGTGCCAGAGTGATACAGTTTATCAACAAAAGTGAATAAAGTGGACATTTACCTTACCTTATTTTCTATAAAATTTAACACCCACAATACTACATAGATATTAACTTTTATTACTGGAATGTCTGAGCACCATAGCCATATGAGAATTAAAGATTGTTTTCTGTGTCTGTTTAAAAAAATGTGCATTATCAGAGAAAGCAATATAATTGTACAATATATGGAATCCATAAACAAAAAAGGTTAAATAATCTTGAGAAGTTCATGAACATAATGTATGATTTAAAATAATGAAATATATATTTAAAAAGAATACGCTATATTTTAAAATCTTTTTATGTTTAAAAAATATCCTATTTTAATTTTCATTCATTCCATGACAGTGCACTTGTTGCTTTAAACTTCTTAGTGACTGACTATTCATTTATGAAAGTCTGAGTAAACTTGAGATTGTCTAAAAATTAGGAGTTAGATTTTTTTATTCCATTTTTAATAAAGCTCATTTAAAGGCATATTTATAAATACCTAAAATTGATCATGAAAATAAGACACTTTAATTTTTCAGTAAATTTAACATCTTTCATGTGGCACAATTTTAGATGCATTTAATTCAGATTTTCTCAATAGAAATTTTTATGCAGTTTTGTAACAAAAATAACAGCAACTTCATATCATGAATGTAAATATGAATGATGTTAAAATACATGAATACAGTTTTTGTATAAGAATTTCTACAAATTTAAATTCAGTAAAAAATACTTGGCAAATTATCACTGAAAAAGTCATTCACAAAAATGGCACAACATAAAAAAAAAAATTGTAAAATGAAGTTATATGCTTTATTTTATTAAAAATAAATGTTTTTAAATGCAGAATATAAAGAAATGATTCCTTAAAAATTTTTACAATTTTCACTACAGTACATATTTTTCATGATTATATTAATGAGTAAATTTATAACCTGTTCTACAAATATAAACAGAATATCTTGCATGCTAATAGACAGTATGCAGCAGTTTTTTTTTTTTTTTCCCTATGAAATAAGCATACATATAAATAATCCAGATTTCAGACATTTTAGTTCAGTAATAGATTTCTGCATTCAAGTGACATGCATTTATTTACCTGATGTGCAGTAAATATTTGTACTATTTGCATGGACTTGCAGCAGAATTGAGAACAAATATTCCTTTTTCAGATAAATAATTTCTCTCTTTCTTTGTGTTAGAGATTAACATTTGGTGCATCACAGTAAACGCTTGGTATTGGTGACAGTTCTAATGACTTTGCTTCTTCAGCAAACCTGAATTGGAAAAAAGAGATAGGTTTTATTTCCAAAACAAAAACGTTTATATACAGGGTGGTTATAAAAAATCTCCCCCCCCCATATGAAACCCTAGTGGCTTATCTGCTCAACCAATTTAAATGAAACTCCAGATACTGTTATTTGAAGATATGTGCTCGAGATTGTGATTATTTAAAATGATGGAACTCAGTTACAGCGAAAAAATTTTTAAATGTTTTTAATGGCGACACCCACTTTTTTCTTGCGCAAATTGATCTATACACTGAAAAACCATAAATGGTCTTGGAATGATACAAGCATAACAAAATTTGACAGCGTAAAACATTTATAAAGAAGAACATTGTAAACAGCCAACTTTGGAAAAAACTTTTACTGGAATTACAAGTCTTCAACATGCCCACCTTCTCAGACAATAATATATTGCATGGGGGAGATTGTTGACAACATGTTGAAGAGAAAATCGCAGCAAGAATCTGTATATATCTTCATGTTTTATGGCATCTTTCAATTATTACAAATCTTGTGCACTTGATGTGTATGCTTAGATTTCAGATAAGCCCAGAAGTAAAAATCCATTAAAGTGAGGTCAGGAGATCACGATAGCCATGAAGCTGCTAAGGATCTGAAACTATCTCCGAAGAGGTGTCGAGCACTGTATGGCAACACACGAAGGAGCACCATCTTGCATTCATACAATGTCATTAATGACATTTTGTTTCTGCAATTCTGGAATTATGTAATTTTGCAACATTACTGTATACCAAGCACTTGTGATGCAGCATGTTTGGAAATGCCTTCACTTAGTTCCGAGTAACTAAAGAATGTGAAGCATGAATGAGAATATTCAGACTTCATGATTCAGTGTAAAGTTTATTGAAATTGATTTAACAACCTCCATTGACTTCTTTTTTGAATTCTGTATTCTGGATTCAGCTACAACTGAGTTATTTTTTATTCAGTTTGTGTTTATTTAAAGATGCTGTGTTCACTGACAGCAGATTTTTATAAATCAAAACTGATTGAATATATTGGTTTTAAATTAGTGAAGAATTTTTGTTTTGCATTTATGTTATGAAATAATTTATTTTCCATTTTTAATTAAGTTGAAGCTTAAATACTGAGAAGGAAAATAAATATTTTAAGTTATCAAACATGGAAGTTTTAAAGAAAAATAGAATGCAACATCAGAGATTATTCACAAAGGCTTGTAACCAATTTGAGAGAGAGGAAGAAATACTTGATGTTGTTAACCTTTTGAGGACAGGATGGCCATTATAGTGGCCATAGAGTACTCTGTTTGAAAGGATGAGTTTTCCACTTTAGTGGCCATGTCTTTTTCCCCCATTTTCCAGGCTGAAAGAGTGGGGTGAAATGTCCAATTTGACGTCTCTGGGGTTTTAACCACTTATCTCTTTCAAAAGTCTTTGTGTTAAGAATCCGTTTTTTCCCAATTTTTCCCTTTTAGTTCTTGTAGCTACCTAATTCGCGATAACTCCATTTGCAAATTGTAAACAGAGCCTTGCATTGCTTTAGACTATTCCATACATATAGGAATTATTTTGACATTTTTCTAGCAATATGCCAAAAAGGAAAAGAGGTCTGACTGAAGAAGAAATATGAAAACTTCTTTAAGAGCTTGATGATGAAATATACACATACATACATAGTATATCTGTATGTTTATACACATATGCATAAATCTACATGCAAACACATATATATGTAAGATAAAAAATGTATGAATCAGAATTATAATATAACTATAAACATTAATTCTTCCTCTCTATTCTAAAATCGTAATAACTTAACTGCTTTGCGTCATTCAAATTAATCATGCGATCTTACGTAACCGTTAATACCAGATGCCTCTTGACGACCAATCACCGAATTGTAAACCAAAACTTTTCTCTTCGCGTGCTTCCATCCTTCATAACTACGCACTTCAGCTTTTGCTCTCTACTGTGCTAAGATGTAATTTCGCTGGCTTGCTTTCTATCCCAACAATATCAAAAACGTAAATCTTCTGTGGAAAGGCACGACTAGAGTGCCAAGTGATTGTGGCCACAAATATCAACTGGAAATAAAAAATGGAATTAAAACTGCCTTGACTGCCAAGTTCTTTAAATGCTACGCAATCAAAATTCTTCTTCAATATGGGTCTAATCACGCATCTACAGTGCTCCGGCTTTTCCTTTTCCTGTGCTCTTATTATGACAATTAAGTCGACAGGATAGTTTCCTGAAGCCTGAAACCTCAATGGAAAATTTAATTCAGCTCTTCAAATCATCGTTTTGTGATAAATCCAAGATAATGTGAAAGAAGTGAATCATCAAGTTTGTTTTTTCAGTGTGTAAAAAAATAACAGATCATTCTTCTGCTGTCGTGTTTTGCAAGTGCTTCAAAAAAATAATCTCGTGTAGTGTTTATAGATTGAAAGTAATCTCTCGATAAATTGAAAAGTTCGAATGCCTAGTGAAAAGGAAATCATCAGTGAATTACCGTTTAGGAATTCAGCATTACAGTGGGTTCAAGGTCGATTTGAGTTAGTGTTTGCAAGTATGTGCCACAGAAAATTATTTGCACTTCCGCTTATTCAACAGCTAAAAAATTATTACATTCGTGTGAATCTAGCTCAGGAACTAAATTACTTAATGTGCTGCGAATTCTATAGTTTTCATTTCAACTTTGGTTAAAATTTCTGCAATTTGTTTTGAGAAAATCTGAAATTCTTGTTCATTAATCTTTCTAATTTTTCATAATTATGTGTGAGCAAATTAAGTAACGAATTTTAAGCTATTTAAATTATTCATAGGGAAGGATATTAGGATAAGTTATTACGATTTTAGAATAGAGAGGAAGAATTAATGTTTATAGTTATATTATAATTCTGATTCATACATTTTTTTATCTTACATGAAGTTATGGTAAATGCATGTTAAAATTTATGGGTTATTGTGTGTTAAGTATAGTATGGTGAGGGTGTACTGGTTCCTTCAACAGAGGCCTGAAATTACCTCTGTACAGTTGTTCCCTTCACCCTCTTCAAGTAAGATAATGTTGGAGGCTCTCATTTTATGAGTGTGTGTAATTTTTTATATTATTATTATTATTATTATTATTATTATTATTATATTTTTTTATTATGGAATGTATTAATGCAGTTCTCAAAGGCCAGTTACCTTAATGCAAGGAACGGAGGCCTTTTCGAGTAACTGCCTAGGCACCCTGGTCCACCAGTGCAGAACACACTGGTTAGCTCAAGAGGACAGCTCTATTGATGGATATGTTTGTTTAGAAGTATTGCGAGGCTTCCAGTTTGGTAAAATCAGGAATTGTAAATGAAAGATGATAACGGTGAGACCATAAATTCTGAAAATCTTAATCCCATTATTTATGATGTTAAATTATAATTTATCAGTATAGAAATAAGTATCATAAATATTTATGTGCATTACATTTAATTATAAGTAATGGTTATGTAAAAGTATATTTTGTGATATTCTGTGTTAACAAGAACCTTCCCTGAAGAATTATGATTATGTGAACTCTCAAACAAAAAGACTTTTGGACTGAAATGCTGAAAAAGTCAATAGGACTCTAAAAATTAAAAAATTCATTTAAAAAAATTGATATTTATAAATTACACTTTACAGGACAAAAATTTTATGATTTATGTTTTTTTTTTTTTTTTTTTTTTTTTTTTTTTCCATTTTCATTTGCCAGTGCTTTAACTCTTTCTCTTTAAAAAGGCTTCTCTGTCACTACGCCTCTTTCTTTTTGAAGGGGGGAAATATGTAAGATAAAAAATGTATGAATCAGAATTATAATATAACTACAAACATTAATTCTTCCTCTCTATTCTAAAATTGTAATAACTTATCTGCATTGCGTCATTCAAATTAATCATGCGATCTTACGTAACCGTTAAATACCAGATGCCTCTTGACGACCAATCACCGAATTGTAAACCAAAACTTTTCTCTTCGCGTGCTTCCATCCTTCATAACTACGCACTTCAGCTTTTGCTCTCTACTGTGCTAAGATGTAATTTCGCTGGCTTGCTTTCTATCCCAACAATATCAAAAATGTAAATCTTCTGTGGAAAGGCGACTAGAGTGCCAAGTGATTGTGGCCACAAATATCAACTGGAAATAAAAATGGAATTAAAACTGCCTCGACTGCCAAGTTCTTTAAATACTACGCAATCAAAATTCTTCTTCAATATGGGTCTAATCACGCATCTACAGTGCTCCGGCTTTTCCTTTTCCTGTGCTCTTATTATGACATATATAAATGCATATGTGTGCCTGTGTGTGTACATGTACGTGTCAGTATATACATTATTCCCATTTCAGGGTATGCATGCTTTCCGCTTTACGTGCATATCTGCACTTATATTATATCAATGCAGACATACATACTAAATGGAAATGTAGGTATACATTTCCATTAACAAATATAAATTCCCATGTACTTGTCTACATGTACAAGCACTTTTTCTTACATTGTTATCAGTTTATACTTAACAGTTCTATCTGACTATATATATCTGTTTATGCTGAAGTGACCTTCACACACGGAAGTTTACTGTGATGGTACAGTTATTCAAACAAATCACAAGAACAAAAATATAAATTTTGTGTCAAAGAAACAACAACAGTTTTACAATTTCAGTCTGAAACCTAGAAATCGTAAATACACTAAAACTAGTCAATCAGTTTGAAAGGTCATCTCTAGCCATTAGATTCCAGATGTACTGTTATTTTAAGAGGTACCTCCGTATCAGTGTCTCGATTTCATGGTCAAATAATTTTGAAGTAAAATGTTCAGAATGGATTAGAGTAGCATTTGTCAAATTTCACTGTCTGTTGAGCTCCGAGAATACAAACAGGATGTAAAAGCTCTCAAATAATGTACAAATCATTGTTCACAACACATGTTCTCCATCTGAATTTCTGAAAATTTACCTTTTAAGTGATTGAATGCCTTTGTCATTC